AGAAATAATTTTAAAAGAGACATTTCTTTCATTTTCCCTTGTATTCATATATTGTCACCTCTCACAGAGTGATGGAGATGCAAAAGATTACTCAGAGTGCATGTTTTCAGAGCCATGAGAAGCCCAAAGGGACTGCACCCAGGGAAAACCCCTTCATGAGAGAAGAGCCAGGCACAGCCCTGGGTCAGTTTTTTCTTCAATTTTTATTGTAGAGACAAGAAAGTTACAGAAGAAAAACAGGTGGTTAATCAATCATAGTAAAAACAAACTGGCTATGTGACAACCCTCATTAAAGCAGGTATAACTTAAGATAGTTCCAGCAATTTACCATCAAAAGGACTCATAAAACTAAGCTATGTGATGTACAAAAGGAAACAATGAGATAATCATCAAAGCACTTAACTCCCCAAGAAACTCAAAGAAACATCTTAGGGCAAGATGTGGAGCGTTCCCCAAGCACTAACTAGCAGAATATCCTTGAAGATTTTAGCTCAAATACTTCCCAGTATCTAGGTTTAGCTGCACCACGGGCAACTGTCCCCCAAGCAAACACTTTTTGCTGTGCTTCAATTCTCTTATCTACATCAAAGGCTTTAGTCCTGTGAAAGTTTTCTGGTCTTTTCCAATCTTAGCATTTCTATGTGTTTTCCTAAAGAGCTGGGCTTTGGTCCCCTAAGCTAGGGGCTGTGGCCTCCTAAACTACAGGGCTTTGGTCCTTCTAAACTACGGGCTTTGTCCTTCTAAGGACTAAGGACTAAACTAAGTCCTAAGTCCTTCTAAGGACTAAGGACTTTGGCCTAAACTAAGGACTTTGGTACTTGTAAACTACAGGCTTTGGCCTTCTAAATATAGGCTTTGGTCCTGTGAAATACATGTGTTTTGTTTCCATCTCATTAAGGTCAATATCCTCCACAATGCATAAACCTTGCTTTCTATATTTGGTCCTTTAGTGAAAATAATACAAAAACAAAACAAGGAAGGATCAATATCACAAAGAACTAAATCTAAGTATGGTATTCATAGACACATTACTCAATAGGCACTTTGTTATTAGGCTATGAATATGAATGTGACATGGTCCTTGTCCTCAAGAAGTTCCCATTATAATATAGTAGGCTGATTAACTATAATTCCACTAAATAAGTTATCACAAAAGCAAGCACACAGGTTCTGATCTACAGGGGGAATGCTTAAGTTGGATAGCAAATTTAGAGAAGTCATAGAGCGGGCTCTTAAAGGATGAGGACATTTTAAAGGATGGATGGAGAATTCTAGGCAGAGGGATTAACATGTATTGAACTCTATGTTCATTATTATGGAAATAAATTAAAAGGAGATTTTGGAAAATGAATGTGTGCAGGTAAATTCAGAGTTTTTTCCCATGACAGGTTTACTCTGCTTGAATCCAGGTAATGAAAGCTAACATTGTTTGAGTACCTGCTATGTCTTGCAGTGTGTTAGGTACTTACACATTATCTTACTTAATACCTTTTTAACCCTCATTTTATTTTATTTTATTTATTTATTTATTATTATTTATTTATTTATTTATTTTTTCCAAAGATGACCAGTAAGGGGATCTCAACCCTTGGCCTGGTGTTGTCAGCACCACGCTCAGCCAGTGAGCCAACCGGCCATCCCTATATAGGATCCGAACCCATGGCCTTGGCGTTATCAGCACCGCACTCTACCGAGTGAGCCATGGGCCGGCCTTTTAACCCTCATTTTAAAACTAAGATTAAATGATGGCTAGGATCTAGGAAATGGCAAAGTTAGGAATCCAAGTCAGGACTACTTGTCTTCAAAGCCCTTGCTTTTGCCATAACTATGCCATTTTCCTCAAAGAATGCAGATTTTCTTCATAGCTCTAAAAATGCACAGATTTTGAAGGCTCTCACTTCCTTCCATTTAGTTGCCTACCTATAAAATATCTCTTCCACGTGAGCCCATTAACCCTCATTACTTCTCCTTTAGACTAGTGGAATCTTTCCCAAGCTTGTTGATCCTAAGAACGTGGTAGCTTCTTAAAATGCAGGTTCCCAGGCCATGCTCCTGGAGGATGATTCAGGATTGGATCAGGGTCTAGAATTTTTTTTTTTTTTTTTTTTTTTTGCAGTTGACTGGTATGGGGATACAAACTGATGACTTTAGTGTTACAAGGCTGTGCTCTAACCACCTGAACTAACCAGCCAGCGTATAATCTGTATTTTTAACAAGGATTTGATTCATGAGCAAACTGGAGGAAACACTGGGTTAATGCCCTAGCCTAACTCGCCTACCCACTTCTAGTCTCTTCTTTCAACCAATTTCCAACCCACACCCTGCCCCCGTTTTCTGGCATTACTCTGGAGGTCCTTGAAGATTTCCATACCATTTCACACTGCTTCATTTGCTGGTAATGAACACTACCGCTTATCGAGCATTTATTTACTATTCCCCCCACCCCCCACCACCCCCGCCTTGGACGTTAAGTCCATGAAGGAAGGGGCTGAAATCGCATTACCTGGGCACACAGTAGTGTCCACCTGCAGCCCGGGAGACACAGACTCAGTTGCCCCGAATATACGAACTGATCTTTAAAGGAAGAAAAGGAGTTGAGAGGCAGTTCCAAAGTTGTTTGCCAAGACATTACTTTGGTTCACTGAAGTAACATGAGCTACTAGTTGGGCTCTACAATTGGTCTTTGCTTCATAAATTCCAGTGACTTGTCTCCAACTTTTGAGGTAAAAAGAAAACAGAAAAAAATTCTAGGTACTTTGTAACAGAAAGAATGAAGGTCACATTGTACAATTTGCGATAACATTTGGGTAGTCTGTATCTGTCGGTGGCGGCAGCCTGACTACTAAAAACGTGCCCTTTAGCAATCATCCCGGACATGGGCGAGGAGGACATCAGAGTCCCACACTCTTCTCCCTATGGGCCCAAGTTTGACACACCTCACGTGGTTTAGACTGCTCTCAGCCATTTTCCATTCTTAGCAGGTGCCCAGTATTTACTGAATCATCAAGCCCATAAGGAAGTCACTATTATCCTTCAATTTGAAAACAAGGAGGAGTCTAAAGAAGTAGCAGAGCTGGAACAGCCTTACGACATAATCAGTGTTCAGTAGTGAACCCGGGAAGCTCTGCCTCAGCGCGCACCGCGTGCAAGGTTCGGCGCTGGCGGCAGCAAAACTTTCATGCCAGCGGCCCTCGTACAAAGCGCGCCCTTCCGCAGGTGTGCGGCCGCCATTCAGGCCACGCCACGACCCCAGAAAGCCACTTGGAACCCGAAGTCACAGGCTACAGAATAAGACGTAGGAGCTCGCCCCTCTCCCCAACATGGCGCGGCGGACTCACGTGGGCGCGGGGGCGCGATAACTTCGTATTATGTATGCTATTCGAAGTTATTACGCAGCATGGCTGCGCCCGTGGGACCGGTGAAGTTCTGGAGACCCGGTAAGGCCCTTGGCGGAGCGCTGGGCAGATGCGGCAGCCTGTTTTCGGTCTTGGCGCCGCAGCCGGCGCCCTGGGCCCGGCGGGCTGGTCACTGCCGCCTCCGTGCGGGTGAACTCTGCGGCCCAGGCTCCCACGGTGGTCCCCAGAAATTCGGGGATGCGACCCCAGCTTGGGCAGAAACTCTCCGTGTGACCTTGTTCGAGTCTCTCAGCCTCCTCGGGCCTCGTTTTGCTCGTTACTTGTGCCTGTCCTGCTCACGCTGCCAAAATCGTAAAGCGCCCACGCGTGCTTTGTTACCGCCCTAGGGCTACGTTGGGGCCCGACGGGCGGTGCTGCTCAGCGTTTAGGAGCGCAAGCTATGGAGTCAGATTGCCCGGGTTCGAATTTTCGTCTCTGCCTTACAGTGCTAGGGTGACTTTAGGCAAGTCACTTAATCCTTCTGAGCCTTGGCCTCCTTACCTATATAATGGGCAGAATAACATCTATCCCGTGGACTTGAATAACAAGCACAACGCGTTGTCTGAATTAGGTAAATTGCTCCTAAAAAGGGAAAGTGTGTTATTTTGTTTCAGGGTTATTCTTGTCCACCTGAATGTCTGCCAGAAAGTGAACACTCTTCGTGTTGGTTGCCACCCACTTCCTCTCTTGCAGGCTAACGAATCACGATCACAGCATGCTTTGCTTGTTTTGACATTTACTCATTAAACAGGTTTTTATTAAATGTGTGCATGTCAGACCATGCTAGATGCATTACTTCCTCCCGTTTATCAGTTTCTTGTAAAAAAAAAAAAAAAAAGAAAAGTTTCTTAAACTGTTACCAGCTTGTTTTTTCCCACCACCTTCAACCCTGCGGGTTTGGATGTGCGAAGTATATTGCAGCAAAAAAGAAATGAGACAGAGAAGGTAACATAAAGAAAACTTTTAAAGGGTGTTGTAGAGTGGTTCCCAGAAATTCTGACCATGCATATAAGTAACGTGAGAGACAAACCCAAACAAGAAAAGTGCTTAATTCTTTTTTAAAATCTGTAGTTTGTCATTTGATAGTTTTATGATTCAGCATTTCAAGGCGTCAGCCAATTATCCATCCTGAGTTTTATTTACAACCGAAACTAAGATCTCATTATGTAGTGAGATCTTTTATTTATTCAAGCCTTTAGTAACAGGTGAAAATGTTAAGTATGGTAAAGGCCTGAATGAATTGTTGAAAATCAGAGTAGGATACTATTTTGATTAAAGAACATGAGATTAAAAGTTTTATTCCATTATTTAATTCACTCATTGAGGGTGCACTTATTGAACACCTAACCCTGTGGTCAGGAGACACATAGATGACTAGGACTCTGCTCGCAAGGTGCTGTTTCTCTCAGTTGAATATGAAATTGGATGTCCTGTAAAAGAGACTTTAGAATGAGGCAGAATAAGGTGGTTGTAGAGTCCTGGACTCAGGCTGCAGTGCCCATCCTGACTACCACTTATTAACTCAGTGGTTTGACAGAGTTACTCAGGTGCTCAAAGTCTCAGTTACCCCATCTGTAAATTGGGCATAATACCTATCCAAAGAGTTGTGAGGATTAAATGAGAATTATATATGAAAGGATCTTAGGAATAGATACATGTTGACTGTTATAATTATATAGAAGTATAGAAGAGGGAGGGAAAAAGTGGACGTGTGGATAAAAAAAATACTTTATAAAGATGGTGATATTTTTGAAGTGAACATTGAAGCACGAATAAGGTCATATTCCACAGAGAGGTAGGAGAATGGAACTATAGGCAAACAGTGCAGCATTAACAAGGGCAAGATGCGGTGTGTGCCTCAAGAATGTCTGTAAAATCAAAATAATTGAGTAGTGTCATGGTGTTACGTGGTAGGGTAGGTTTTGGGATGTGGTAGGAGATGAAGCTTGAAAGGTAGGTTAGGGCCTCATTGTGAATGGTATGCATGGCAGGTTAAAGAATTTGGACTTCAGTATTTTCAAGCAGGGTAGTGACACAATGAGGTTTACTTTAGAAAGATAACTCTGGCAGTGGTGTAGGGAAGGTTGGAGGTAGAAATTGGAGGCAGGGACACCAGTATTTTCAAGCAGGGTAGTGACACAATGAGGTTTACTTTAGAAAGATAACTCTGGCAGTGTTGTAGGGAAGGTTGGAGGTAGAAATTGGAGGCAGGGACACTCTCAAGGAAGAGTCCTACTAAAATCCGTGAGAGATATTGAAATCCTCAGTTCTGGCCTGGCTGCCAAGAAAAGAGACCAAATGGAGAGAGACTTTAGAGGCAGATGTGGGAGAAGATGAAGTCACCAATGACTCAAAATTCTCAGTTGGGTGAATGTCTAGGTAAGTTGTTCTCAAATTTTGCTGTATAATTGAATCACTTGGGAAGCTTTAAAAAATTCTAATGTCCACTTGCACCCCATGCCAATAAATCAGAAATCTGGAGGGTAAGGAGTCAAGCATCAGTATTTTTTAAAGTCCCCAGGTGATTCCAGCATGCATCGAAGCTTGGGAACCTCTGGTCTAGGCAAACTATGCTGAGATGGGAATAGATTTAGTACACACTAATTGGGCCCTTACTTTGTTCTAGTCACTTTCACTTATAACATTTTATTAAACAGTCACAGTATCTCTGTGATGGAGGTAATATTCTTATTTTACAGATGATCAAACCGAAGTTTAATATATGGAAGAGGCTGTCTGAAATTCAGGATAAAGGGTAGGAGGTGGTTGAAGCTGGAGATGAGGCTAGATGTTGGAATCATAAACATATCCTATAGGCCGGGTGTCACAAGCTTCGGATACTTACAGGGGCATTTCAGACAATCTATTTCTTTTTTTTTTTTGGCTGCTGGCCGATGAGGGGATCTGAACCCTTGAGCTTGGTGGTGTTACGAGCTCAAATGAGCCAACTGGCCAGCCCCCAGACAGTCTGAATGAGTGAAGCTGCAGGGTAGAAGTAATAGGGAGCAGTGGGGACTGTGGCAAAATAGAGTGTGCATACAGTGGATAGATATGTACAGTGTAGACATACACTAGAACTTACATGTGCTGTCTACAGTAGGGAGCTGTACTCATTTTCACCTAATTGTTGTCATATGGGCTCAGAGTTGCCAGGTTTCTTTTTTTTTTTTTTTTAAGAAGACTAATGTCCAGACTTGAATGGGAAATTTTTGCGTGTTGTTATAAGTGAACTATTTAAAATATTTTAGTGATAGGATGTCTGGGGACCTTAAGCCACCAGTTTGTTATCTCTACCTTAGGAGTATAACTTAAGAGCTTTGTATGGCAAACACTTCATAGCAACAGCTTTGACGTTTCTTTGGCCTGACTCACAGTAAGAAATATGTTGTGTTGTGATTTAACATGTATCCATAACTGAAAAAAATTGTGCAAAAACAATATTGCTTTTTGGGATGTGCTCTGATACTTTCTATTGTATTTCTAGTTCATTATTTTTAAATGCTGGTTATAACCCACTACATTGATTTCATAAACCACTTATAGGTTACCACTCAAATTTTGAAAAACTGGGTTAAAGGGAAAGCCGGATTGGGGTGCTATCATTAGCCTTGTTTTGTAGAATGACAAATGAAGACATTTATGGTTTGCAAAAATTACAGAGTTGTTACTCCCTTAAGCATAGCGTGTATTCCCAAGGAAAAAACCATAAGCAAACAGAGTGGGCTGTGGGATGTATATAGAGGGGAAGCAGTCCTAATGTTCTGGTTGGGCTGAATGAAGTCCTTTGTAAGGAGATGATGTGTTCTTTATTGATTGACAGCAGCTGTTCTTGTAAAAGTGTTCACAACAGAATATACCAAGATGGACTGGGCCATGTGTTAGAGACAAAAGAGGGATGGGGTAGTGAAGACACCTGGGTAGATTAAACCCTGGTGCGGGAGGAAGTTAAGAGACCTGGCAGGAGCAATGTTAAACTTTCCCTCATGTCTGGAATATTTTAAAACGTGTTTTGAAAAGGAGGGAATTCAGGACAGAAACACAGTAGAAGAGAATAAAGGATTCTTTACAGTAGTTTTCTTGGGCAAACCTTATAAGGAGTTATTAAGATGTAGCAATAATAAGGGGAGAAAGGAAAAGAAACCTGCTCTTTTGAGCACAGGCTTTGTTCCAGGTCTTGTTCTATCATTTATCTTGTTGAAAGGAAGGTCAACATTTTGGCAAAAGCAACACAGCAGTGCCCCACTTACCTGATTTTTGGCAATCTTGGACTTCTGGAACACAACTGTGTTCCTGGAAGTAAATGGAAAAGGGTCAGGGATCTAAAGCAGTTATTCTAAATTTGGCTCTTCGGGGTCTATGGACCTCAGCATTTTATATTTCTGGTAAATTATATTCTGAATTACTTCTCAGGAGAGGTAGTTATAGCCTTTATCATATTGTTAAAAGGATCTGCTCTCTGCCCTCCCCCCAATGTAAAATTAAGTCATCTGGGCTAAATAGGCTTTTTTTTTTTTTCCTTTTTGTCTTTTTTCGTGACCGGTAACGGGATCGCAACCCTCGGTGTCGCACCCGCACCGCGCTCAACCAGTGAGCGGACCGGTCTCTATGTGGGATCTGAACCCTAGACGGGAGCGCCGCCCTCTACCGAGTGCGCCACCGGGCCGGCCCCTAAATAGGCTTTTCACAAAGCCCTTGTACGTTCACATAGTGTCACAGATTCTGAGTTCAGAAGACCTTGGAGATGATAGTTTTTGGTAATTATCCCTGTAGTTCCCCCAAAAGGAGGCTGTGCAGCACGTTTGAACTTCTAGCGAGGGTTTTTATTGATTCACAGCATACACCAGTGCTGAACAGCTCTACCCTTTGAATATTAAACCTTGTGTCACTTACTTATTGCTCCTAGTCCTTTCCTAGGGCTACATGTACAAATCAGTGTGAAAAGTTACAGAAGCTGATCATAAAGTTTTAATCCATGTTCCTCCTGAGGCTTCTTCCTTTTGAGGCTAAAGTGGTTTCTGGATTCATTTCCCATCTAACCACTCCAATCCTGTGGTTCAAATGGGGGCTGCCATTCACTGCATCCCACTCCACTGGCCGTGATTGATTGGATCAGGGTGGGTATCGGACCTAAGCTGGGAGAAAAAGTCAGTCACTGAGTGTCCAGTATAAAAGATCCTCTTCCACCCCCATGTACACAGCACACAAGCTGGGGTTCCCTTTACGATGTCTATTTCTCTCCATAGCACTTTTTACCACCTTGTACTAAGTTACATTCTATGGGGAGGAAGAACAAAAGAAGCAAGTAAGCTCCATGAGGGTGCACTGAGTGTCCAGTATAAAAGATCCTCTTCCACCCCCATGTACACAGCACACAAGCTGGGGCTCCTGGTTCCCTTTACGATGTCTATTTCTCTCCATAGCACTTTTTACCACCTCGTACTAAGTTACATTCTATGGGGAGGAAGAACAAAAGAAGCAAGTAAGCTCCATGAGGGTAGGGCCTGCATATGCATTCTTCATTGGTGTATTTTTAGCACCTAGAGTAGTGCCTGGCACAGAGCAGGCCCTCAGTCCATCCTCTCTGGGTGAGCGAATGAATGATTGGTAGAGGAGTTGTAAACTTGAGATCTGGCCTGTCAGCAGCCTTGTTCCCAGTTCCAGTACAGAAGCTGACCAAAGGACTGAAAGGAGTTTGTCCAGACGTATAGACATGAGAGAAGGAGAAAGCTGGGGCAGCCTTTGAGTCCCCGATTCCTGTCATCCCTGATCCTTGCTGTCATCCTACAGGATTAATCCTTTTGTCTCAGATAATTCCCACTGGGTTTCTTGTAAGACTGTTAAGAACTCGATAATAATACTGATATCAGTACTAAAAACACTATACTCTATAATATACATATCTGGGTGGCCAATTTGTTTTGTTTTGTTTTTGGTGGATAACTGATATGGTGGTCTGAACCCTTGAGCTTGATGTTATAAGGCTGCACTCTAATCAATTGAGCTAAACAGCCAGCCCAGGTGACCAATTTGGAACCCACTGGACTGCGATTTCCTGCTCTTGACAAGACAGTGAAGCTGTAGAGAAGATTTTTGTATTCTGATAGGTACTTTTCTAGATGCTTTCCTAAAGTTAAATACCTTTTAGTAGTTTGAGATAAAAAGCTTACTGCTGTTGTGGATCTTCGTCTTTGAAAATTTGTAACCTGTATAGATTTTTCTGTTCACTGCATCAGAGAATCTGAAAAAAACATTTCTGCTGCAGGTACAGAGGGGCCAGGTGTCAGCATCTCTGAAGAGAGACAAAGTCTCACCGAAAATTTTGTGACAACTGTCGTTTACAATCCTTACTCTGCCCTTTCTATAGAGCAGCAGAGGCAGAAGCTGCCAGTGTTCAAGGTACGTTGCATAAGCATGTTCAGTCCGTGGGCCTGAATGTTGTGTCTGCAGTAGCTCTATGCTTGGCACGGAAGGGGCTAATGTCCTCTTACTCTTAATGATTCTTTAGGACACAAAGAGCTTGGAGAAACCCTATTCTAAGGGATTACTTTTCAAAATATTTGTGTTAGTTAGCCTTCTAAATCTTGAAAGTCCCTAAGATTTGTTCAGTTAGATCTTGCATCTTGAAAAACTGAAAGAAGTGAAATCATTCTTTTTTCCCCTCATTGTTTTCAATTACGGGCAATTTCAAACACAGAAAAGTAGAGAAAATAGCGTAGTGAACGTCTGTGTACCCAGCTGCAACAAATTACTACATATGGCCAATTTTTGCTTTCTTTTCAAAGGGATATTTCTTTAAATAAGATTAATTGGGAATACAAGGTCAGCTGAGAAAATCAGTCAGTACTGTAATTACCTTTGAGACAGTGACAGGATTTTGGTGTGGTTACTGGATAGTGTTCCACATTCCAGGCACTCGATTTTATTAGTGTTCATGAAATGGCCACATGCTCAGCTCAGTGTAAACCAGTATTTATTCAAAATACATTTGTTTGTGGTAAACCATCGTTCTCCAGTACAGATGGACACCATCGATGGACATATTTTCTCCCTGTTGGCAAGTCCACATGGGAAGCCAAATTGTAATCAGGAACTAGGATCAGCACCAAAGGCAGGTTAGATATACTTGGAGGAAATGTGTTTCATGCAGCCCCTGATGAAGGGCGATGAATTCTCTTTGCCTCACAGGGTGCCTCTGGAATGACCCAAGTAGCTGTGGCCACCAGCACCCATGTCTCTCTCTCTCCTGCACAGTACTGGGTGAAAGGTGCCAAGTTCTTACACTTAGGGAGTCCTTTTATCTAGACTGTGTTGATAATTCATCTTCTGTTAAAATGTTCTTTCTCCAAATGGATATGAAACAGCAGCCTTCTAATGTAGCCAAGTTGCCTTCATTGGAGTTTTATATGGCCCCAGACATTTTAGTCACTCATGAACTGACAGTCTCTGGGTTTCTTCCTCAAGTGACCTCATTCCATTTTGTGTGCATGTTAAGGAGGTTGACCCTCAGGAGATGAGATAATAGGTTTGCTGTTACTTCCTCACCACTGAGGGACACAGTCTGAGCTGTGATGAAGCATCGACTCTGGAGCTAGATTTCAGGGTTCAAACCTGAGCTTCAGCATTTGCATGCTGTGTGACCTTGCTTCACCATTCTAAGCTTCTGTTTTCTTATCTATAGTAGGGGAATAGTGGTGGCACCTCCCTGGTAGGACTGTTATGAGGACCTGATGGGATAATCCATGCAGAGCATTTAGCAAGATAACTGATGTGTGGTAAACGCACAAGTACAAGGAAAATTATTGTTTACCAAGTGTTTGAATTCTGGCCGTTTCCTGACTATTCTTCATCCTCCAACTGTACTTATAAGATAAAATAAAGTTAATGACAAATGGCAAAAAAAAAGAAAACAAGATGTTGAGATATGTTGATGAAATTAAAATGGTAAGAAGAGGGGTATAAGCTATGATATAAAGCAAAGCAGAGTTTAAGCACAGTTGAGATCTCATAAGATGTTAAAGGTAGATCTAGAAGATGAATTACCCCTTCATGAACCCTCCTCTATTAAAACTAAAAGCAGAAGTAAGTTTAGAAACAGAGGTTGGAACTAAAGCAGCAACAAGTCTTTAAGTATCACCCCTTATCCCCAGTACCATTATAAGGCAGCCTTCCCCTTGGCTGCCTTCTGTAGTCTGGTGTTCTTTTTGGGCCCTGAGCACTGCTATCCAACGTTGCCCTCTTGTTCCTGCCAGCTCCACTTCTGAAGCTCAGTCCCATTCTCCTGACCAGCTCTCCTTCACTTCACTGCACCTGTCGGTGGGCTGTCATTTTCTGTCTCCAAACTGGAAATCTTTGTCATCTCTCATGAATGTCACACATTTGACTCTTTCCAATTGCTGTGCTTCTTAGATCCTTTAGGCCTTTAACACATGAAGTTAGAGCTATTACCTTCACTTTCTTCATGCTCAAATCACTCTTGTATGCTGCTGCCCAATTTTCTCAAAACAGCCTACTTTGACTCTACACTCTTTAGCTCTGCATTCAAGGTCTTTCACAATGCAGTCCTAGCTATACTCCTTCACTGGAATTTGCATAGTTTGCTTATTTCTATCTTCTCTTTTTTGTTTATGTTATTTCCACTTCCTGGAATGCCTTATCAGTCTATTTATCTGTATTCGAATTGTCTTTCAAGTTTTTCTTGATCACCCACCCATCCATCCAACCATCCATCCATCCATCCATCCATCCATCCATCCATTCTACTGTTTTTGTAATACTTGCAAAGAACATGAACCTTTCCCCTTTCCTGGGGACAGCCTTGTGCCAGCCTGGCCTGAACTCACCCAAAACAAAAGAAAACACAAAGTCTATAAGCAACCAAGAAGAAAGCATTTAGGTTACAGTCATTAGACCACCTGTGGCAGAATCTCCTTTGGGTGCTTGTAGAAGTACAGATTCCTGGGCCCCAGCCCAGCCCTGCTGAATTAGAAACCCTGATGGTAGGCTTAAGAATCTTCATTTTTAACAAATGTCAGAGGAGATTTTCACACTAAAATTTGAGAACTGCATATTTAGACTCCAGATAATGCCAAATTCAAAAGCCCAAAGCCTCCAATTCCTTATTTTCTTGTTAGAAACTGGCAGTATCCTGGCACTTCTAATCCTCACCAAAACCATTGTTGGTGTGGCATCAGATGAACTGAGCAATGATCAGAATGGGAGAATTAGGCAGTTTTTTTATTTAATTCCAAACCAGGTATTTATGGAATACCTTCATTACCTTTTGGACCATCAGATGTATTTATAAGCAAATGTGTGTACAAAAATTCTGAAGCTAAGGAGATAGATAGATAAGCTAACTAGACAAGATGTTGGAATTTTCTGTGACTTTTCAGTGTACAAACCAGTGTTTCTGCTCACTAAGTTGAAATATATATGTAATCTGTGAATGCTTTATTGTAAACTTGGATTTAGAGGTTGAGATGAAAGCATATTCTTTTTTTCTGGGGCTTTTTACAAGTTAATAATGAGAAAATTTTAAATTAGGTAATACATGCATGTTGTACAAAATTCAAAGGTCTCCTTCACACCTGTTTCCCAGCCACCCCGCTCCCCTCTCTAGAGGCAGCACTGTTATCAGTTTCTTGTTTTGTTTTTTTCCCAAAGATAGTGTACACATAAATAAGCATGTTGTGTGTGTTTGTTTTTCTTTCTTTCTTTCTTTCTTTCTTTCTTTCTTTCTTTCTTTCTTTCTCTCTTCTCTTCTCTTCTCTTCTCTTCTCTTCTCTTCTCTTCTCTTCTCTTCTCTTCTCTTCTCTTCTCTTCTCTTCTCTTCTCTTCTCTTCTCTTCTCTTCTCTTCTCTTCTCTTCTCTTCTCTTCTCTTCTCTTTTCTTTTCTTTTTTTTCTTTCTTTCTTTCTTTCATGACTGGTAAGGGGATCTTAACCCTTGACTTGGTGTTGTCAGCACCACGCTCAGCCAGTGAGCTAACTGCCATCCCTATATAGGATCTGAACCCATGGCCTTGGTGTTATCAGCACCGCACTCTCCCAAGTGAGCCATGGGCCGGCCCTATTATTACTCTTTCTTTAAAAATACAAATACTAGTGTATTATTCACAGTGTTCTACACTGCCTTCGTCCCGTAATGTGTCTTTTAGATCATTCCATATCAGTACAAATAGACATTTTTTCTAACAACTGCAAATTATTTCATTATTGGAGTGTATCATACCTGATTAAACCAAACTCCTGTTGATGAACATTTAGACTGAATTTTTGGCTATTGTAAACAATTCTGCAATGAATTTGCTTGTATATACATCTTTGTGCACTTGTATTGGTATGTCTGTAGTATAACTTCCTATAAGTGAAAATTTTGAATCGAAGAGTATATGCATTATATATGTTGGTAAGTGTTACAGTTAATTTCAGTTGTATCAGCTCATACTGATGCTAGCAGTACCTAACAGTGAGAAATACGTTTTGGTAGTGTTTGTTAAAATTTACTCTTTTTTGGAAACTGCTTATTTCACAATGTTCAAATATCTTTGTTTAGGTCTTTTGAAACAGTGTATGGCTATTTACAATTTATGGTTATTCTTTTTCAGCTTAGGAATCATATTTTATACTTGATAGAAAACTATCAGACAGTGGTGATCGTTGGAGAAACGGGATGTGGGAAAAGCACGCAGATTCCTCAAGTGAGTACATATTTAATACATGTCTTTACACTTAAATTTTTTTTTTAAAGATGACTGGTAAGGGGATCTTAACCCTTGGTTTGGTGTTGTCAGCACCACGCTCAGCCAGTGAGCTAACCGGCCATCCCTATATAGGATCCGAACCCATGGCCTTGGTGTTATCAGCACCGCACTTTCCCGAGTGAGCCACGGGCCGGCCCTTTTACACTTAAATTTGGTTGGAAGGATTTTGTAACTTGAGAACTCTTCTTTCCTATCATTTGCATTTTTAAGGATTCCTCTCACTTAGGAAATATTCCTCTCAACTAGATACTTTTTATTAAAGTTCTAAGTCTTTTAATTTATTTGATTAGTACTAAACAGTTTGCTTTCAATTTATTATAATTCAAAAATAATAATGGAATAGTCATCTTCTAAAAGGAAACAATGAAGATTCATTCAAAGATGTATAATACATAGTTTTTCAGGTCAAATAAGTACAATTGAAAAGGTGGGGTAAAATGAATACCAGTATCGTTGTAAATAAAAATTGGTTATTATAGAATTATGCAGTGCTATGGGAGAAGCCAAAATCATATCTGATGTGGATAGGAGTGAAGAGAAAGAGTAGGAAAGGCCCGGCAAAGGAAATGGCATTTGAAATAGACCTTGAACTATCAGTGGGAGCTAACTGGAAAGACGTTTCAATCCAGTGAATATTGTGGTTAGAGACTGGGGTGGAGAAGTGTAGGGTGAGGTCAGAGTGTGTCTTATGAGCCTTGACTTAAAGGCTCCATAGTGGTCATTAAGTGACCAGGATTGAGAGTCCTGACAGGCTTTTCTTTCCTTTTTTAATGTTAATTTTTATTGAAGTATAAAATATATATAGCAAAGTGCCAATATCATAATTGTGCATCTTGATACATTTTCACAAGTGGATACACCTGTGTTACCATCACCCAGCTCAAGAAACAGAACATTAGGAGAACCTCATAAGCCCTCTTGTGTCCCCTTCTGATCTCTAACTGCTCTTTCTGCCTACCCCCACAAACATAAACACACAGGATAATTCGTATTCTGGCTTCTAACACCATAGATTAGTTTTGCCTATTTTTGAACTTTATAAAGGAATAATAAAGCTGCTTTTGTCCAGCACTGTCTGTGTGAGATTTCTCCCCGTTGTTGAGTATAGTTGCAGTTTGTTCATTCCCATTACTGTGTGACAGGGGTCCACAAACCACAGCTCAGGGGCCAAATTCAGCCCACTGCCTATTTTTATAAATAAAGCTTTACTGATACACAGC